ATTAATGGAAAAAAGTAGATAAATTTCCCATTCAGAATAATTTTAAACAATTTATGTTAATAATTGGCACTTAAGGAGATGAAGCAATAATCCCCACTACTTACTTGCAAACTGTGTATAGCGGTTGTCTTCCAAAGAGTAAGTATGGAATAGGAGGGGTAATTCTAAAGTAATTCTAAAGTGGAGAAGCCTGATGAACTCTACCACAAGCCAAGTAATTAAGGTTAACATAAACAGTAATACGATGTATTGATAGTACATCCCCTTGATATGATGGGATGAGAATGGCACTTTAAATTTGTGGTCTTCCTCCCAAAACACATTGCTCCAATCTAATCATGAGAAGACCATCAGACAAATTCCAACTGGGAAACATTCCACAAGGTACCTTACCACTACTCCTTAAAACTGTGAAGTTCATCAAAAACTAGGAAAGTCCAAGACACTTTAACAACCAAGAGCAGCCTGAGAAGACATTACTACTAAATGTAATGTGGTATAATGATGAGATCCTGAACAGAAAAAGGACATTGGGTAGAGATTGGGAATATCTCAATAAAACATGCACATTTTTAAGAACTTTAATAATGTATCAATATTGGTTCATTAATTTTGAAAAATATACCATAGTAATACAAGATTTTTATATGGGAATTCTCTGTATGATCTTTGCAATAATTTTGTAAATATAAATCCTTTCTAAACTAAAAAGAAAATAGAATTTTAAGAGTAAAAAGGGAACTATGTATCTATATCAATGTTTCCATATCTATCAATCTATCTAACTTTAAAATTATTTGGAATAATCTGGGGATTTTTTTAAACATACCAATGTTTGGATTTCAACTCCACTCGATTACATCAGAAAATATAGGGTACAATTTTGTCCCTGGCATCAGTTTTTTTAAGCTTCCCAAGAGATTGTAATGTGTACTCAGTATGATGAACAATTGAATTAGATGAACTTAATAATTACTCATAAAGAAATAGAAAACCTGATTTTCATTAGCTGTAGAATGAAGGAAATCAGATATAAGTGGCTTTATTTGTGAAGGCTATCAACTAACAGCAGATAATACTTTTTTAAGGTTTATTACTCTTTCTAAGAGGTAAACAAAACCTGATATCCAAAGTCGTCTAGGGATCACAAAAATAACCACAACAACAATGAAATTATAGACCGGTATCACTTATAGACAGAAATGCTACATTGTGCTAAAGTCATCGTATGTCATGAAAAAATAGTTTTTATGTCAGAAATTATCTTATGGTTTAACACGAAGACATTCACTGATGTGACTGACTTTACTAGTAGGTTAACCCACACAAATGTAGGGGGCACATATTCCAGTATTTCTATAAAACCTTAGTCATATTACCAAATATAACCATAAGGTAATTAAATGGTCCTTTGAATTCACAAAACATATGTCAACTTCACATTCCATTCTTAGTGCATAATAACAGTTCAAAAAATTCCCTTATAAACTTTTCTTCTACATAGTTATCACTTCCTCATAAATTTCCTCATAGACTTTTCCTCCAACCAACTTAACCACAAACCTGGCCTGTACATGTACTATTTAACTTCGAATAACCCGAGTCCACTAATATATGGATTTTGTTCTGTCTCTGCCACCCCTAGGACAGAAAGACCAACTCCTTCTCTTTCTCCTCCTCCTCCTCAGCCTATTCAATGTGAGGACAATGAGGATAAAGACTTTTATGATAATCCACTTCAATTAATGAACAGTAAATATACTTTATCTTCCTTATGATTTTCTTAATAACATTTTATTTTCTCTAGTTCAATTCATTATAAGAAAATAGTATATAATCTTAATACATACAACATACAAAATATGTGTTGATCGATTATTTATATCATCAGTAGGGTTTTCAGTCAATAGTAGGCTATTTGTAAAGGGTCTGGAAGTAAAAAATCATAGGCAGATTTTTGACTGAGTGGGGTTGGTACCCCTGATCCCTATGTTATTCAAGCGTTAACTGTATTCTTTTATTTCTTACCCCACTGGATTTCAATTAGTCTCCTTCTCTCTTTACTTCATTCAAACATTTCTCTGCACTTTATAAAGTAGACCCTGTTACCTCTTAGCTTTTCATAATCTTTTTCTTTAGATTAACCAGCACAAAAGGGTAAGGGGTTGATGAGACAACACAGAATAATTCTGACAAGGAAGAAGAGTGGGAAGAAATAAAAAGCTAGAATCTTGAAAATTGTCCTTAATGGTTGAGCAGAAAACCAAAGAAGTTAATTGATTTGAGTTAGTATGTTTTACTCAGCTATAACAGATTAATGGATAATAATCGTATGGTTATTTTGATAAATTTCAAAAAAAAGTACTTAATGAATTTCAAAACTTTTCCTACTATATGTACCTTATCTGTGACTGAAGAAAAACTTTTAAACTCAACATTTTACTAAAGAAACATTTCAAAGTTTTATAGAAATGATGAAATCTTCTATTAATGATTGTGGAAAAATTATCTCTTTTGTGGAAAAATATAGACTCTTACCTCATACTATATCCACAAATACACTTTGGATGAATTAATATTAAAAAAATGTAACAAAATATGTATAATAATAAAATATAGTAAATTATAATGACAAAGTAGTAATGATAAAATGTAGTAAAACTAAACAAAATAGAGAAAATAAAAAAAACACTTCCCTAATTTTTCAGCGTGCAAAACCTGCTTAAGAAACATAAAATCCTTAATACCTTAAGGAAAGGACAGACAGATTCAAGTCAATGACAATGAGGATCAAAATGATAAAATATAACATGAAAATATTTAGGAAATAAACAACAATCTTAGAGTAAATAGTAACAGCATATATGAATATATTTTAGGAACATTTCCACAAGTTAGGCTTCAAAAGATAACACAGTAGAAAAATATGTAAGGAATAGGAACAGAAAAATAAATATAAGTGATTAATAAATCTATGAATAGATGTCTCAACCTAACTAGTAATAACAGAAATGCAAACTAAACAATAAAGGAATGCCATATTTGCTTTGTAAGAGGACAAAACTAAAACTCATTTTGCAAAGCAAACAGTCTTATCCAAGAAACAATTTGGTGTTATTTAAGTCTAAAAACATGCGTAGTCTTTGACCCAATAATTCAATTCCTAGGCAATTTTTGTACATGTGTACAAATATATAGCTTATTTTAGTTAAATAGTTGGAAGCAATACAAACTTTCAGAATTTTTAGCAAAGTAAACTACTACCTAGCTAGAGGCTACATTTCTCAGCCTTCCTTAGAGCTGGCTGTGATCTATTACACATATAATGGGCAATCATATGTGAACAGCAGTGCTTTTGGCAATTTCTGGGCACATATCTAAAGAGAAGCAGCTAACTTTTCATTTCTTCTGTTCTCTCTGCCCCATTGTAGGCCAAATCAAAATATAGTGGAGAGGAATCAGTTCCTCTCCTCACGCTAGCCTGGGCAACAAAAAGAGACGAAGTCTTAAAAAAAAAAAAAAAAAAAAGGAAAAAAAAAACTAAACAACAAAAGAAAACACTACAGTGGATGGATGGAATCTGGGTCCATGAAAACTGTTCTAGAGAAAGGCCACCAACATGCCTGGGACTTCTGTGTGAAAGAAAAACCATACGTTTCATCTGTTTCAAGCCACTGTTATTTGGGTCCAGTTAGAGGTTGCAACAATACCCCAACCAACGTAGTAGTAAATGCACATGCACTGAACCTGTGAGCCCAAAATGTGAACACATACCACTATAGAGACTTTTATCAGAATTAACATACAAGTTCACATTTAAAACCAACAAATCAATATTCTGACATCTCCAAAACTGTGATAAAGAAACACATCTCAAGCAACTTAGATTTCATCTTAGTTGCATTTCTTTTTTACTAACCTCCGAAGTAAGAGCCATCTGTCAGCTTCATTTCTTTACTGGATTTTGTAATGACACCAGCAACGCCATGTTGAATAAAATACATTTTTTTACCCACAGCTCCTTCTCGTATGATATAATCTCCAGGTTGAAACACTTCAAATCTCAATTTGCTCAGCATGGCAGTTACAAAATTGGGATCCGCATTAGCAAAAAGAGGCATTGTAGCCACCAGTTTCCGACAGTTGAAGTTGACTATCTCCTAAACAAGAGTGAACAAATATCAAGACAGATGTTAATCACATCTGGAAGAACAACATATGCTGAAATTTAAAAACATTATATATTATAGCATAACATTACAACTTAAATTTGGATCCCAAAATACACAGGTTCTAATAATCCACATATCTCATCATAGTCAGGGATTATGGTTTACTTTTGTGTTGAAATTTTGTATTCCCTGCACCTAGTGTAGCATAAGAACATTTCTAGGGTCAGGCCAATGCAAAATCAGAAGATCTGCATGTTTGATTTTATTCTGTAGATTCTGGTCCAGATTAGACATATTGTTATTTATCCGGACAAAAATAGGAATGTGTGACCAAACGTTTTTAATCATGTAAGTCAGTTATGTGACACAGAATGGATAGTGGGAATCTACATTTTACCACAATGCTATTTCCCAGAAATTTCTATACCAATGAGCTCCCTCCCAAAAAAACCCAAAAAGTTGGGAATGCATTTATGAACTTGTTTAAGAGGCATAGAAATGGGTCACCTCTGATAAAAGGTGGGAAAAAGGCAAAAAGAAATGGAGGTATTAACAGAGTCTGAGAACTGAATCCACTCCCTTGGGGAAATGTGTTATACAAACTCCTCGATTCCAAGACTGACAAAGAAGCTTTCTATGGTATTCCTTCATAAAATGACCTGATATGACCCCAGGATAGATAAACAATTCCAGCTCAACAATATCTTTTGAGTTCAGCAGAGCAGAAGAGTGTCTCTAATAGTGGAGCTTCATGGAAAATGATAAAACACTTAAAAATGAGCTACAATAATCTGAAATCCTAAGAAAGTTTAAGCAATATTTTACTTGGTTATAATAAAAAAGAATAGCAATACTTTCCTTCTAGCCTTATAAGTCTACATTGATAATTTAAACATCACTGTGTAAAGTTCCATTTTGTGAAACATCTAATTCTGCTCCATTCTACATTATTATTATTCTAAACAGTATATTTCTAAAAAGTTTTAAGCATGGTAGCTCTAAATATAATTACTGTCATTACACAAATGAATCATAGAGTAATCTTAACAAAACAGAGCTGCTGTTACATTGCTAAATTTCTATACTAAAACATGTCCCATATTTTTATATTTTTAGGCTATACAGAGCTCATAAGAGCCTCCTTCTAAGAACTTATATCAGACAGACATTCAAAAGGCATCCTGACCTGTAGACTTCTATACTTACTTTAGAAACATACACACGTGCGTACACACACACACAAATCTATACCAGTGACATTTCATCACTCTAGAACATCCTATTAAAAAGTGCTCCCAATGTTGTCCCATTTTTTTCTTTCCATTTCAGTAGCTTGGATTAGCTATAATGAAAACAGCAGTTGGATGTATTTAGGCGTTTCTTTAAGGCAGGGATAATTCTAAGAATGAATGTAATAAAAAGAAGAGCAAACATTTATTGAGTTCTTGCTGGGTTTTAGGTATCTCTCTAAATGTTTTACAAATATTTATTTTACCCTCACAACAATCCTATGTCTAAGGTAGGATTACTGTCCCATTTTCTGGAAGTTGTTATGTAATCTGCCATTGATCACACACTTGCAAGAGGGAGGACTATGGCGTGTTGGGCAGCCAGGCTCCCTAACTTGGGGTTTTCATGGATTCTGAGGAGCCACCTTAACATTTGCATATATCTAGAATCACCACAAACCCTAAAGGTTTAGATATTAACCATAAATTTGTTCTTTTGAATTATATACATTTTGAAAGACTGACATGGACATTTGTTGATTGTAGGCAGCAAACCGATGGTTACACACTTGGCTCTTTTTATTTACCTCAGAGCAAAGGTTTTTGAAAATCTGAATCCAAAGGCCTTTGTATGTGGCACGTATGTTCCAGTTTGCCACAGTTTTTAAAACACCACCTATATGTAGTATCTTGCTATTTACTACAATTAGTCTATCTGACTGGCTTCTTAAAGCAATAGAATTTGAGGTCTTTGGACTATAAAGCAAAGAACTGAAAGGAAAGAGAAGGAGACCAGTATTTATTGCTGTGGTTTGTGGGAGGTTCATGTCTTCTATCACAGGGGACTGTGTCAACAGATCGAAAATCCTCTTCGTGGCTTATCAATGTCTGCTCCTTATTTCTCCCTTTCAAAGAAATATTTCTGGCCATGAATGGTACCTCTGATTCTACCTGCAAAGTCCGCAAAGGAACATTCTAATTTAACATGAGTGTAAGTTAGGGATGTAGAAAGAAAGAGGAAGGGAACAAGATTTATTAAGCCCCCATTTTGAGGCAGGCACGTCACATATTATATCTCATTTATTCCCAGGGGACAATGGCCTAAGAATAAACTTGAATTTGGTTTTATTTTCCCACATATACAGAAGAAGAAAGTGGTACTTAGGGAGAGGTATTGCCCAGGCCACAGAGCTAGAAAACTAACAGAGCTAGAGAAACTAACTATGCTCACTCAACCCCACCATGGGGACTTCTTAGCACCTAGAATTAACCCACACTTTTATATTTTGCAATTGTCCATGTTTTAGAATAAAAAGAAGAGTCATTTTTAGCATCTTAAAACTTTTTTAATCTAAATTTTTACCCATTTGAGACTAACATCTATTGCTTTTTTGGCTTTTTTTGTTTATGTGTATTTTTTAGATTATGTACATTTTTAAGCAATTAGAATGCAACATTTTATGCAGTATGTATATTTTCTTGAAGATTACTTAATGACGATATATTCACTGTTGTGGGATTCTTTAAAAATACATGGGTCTAGTTTAAAAATGTACACAAAGAACCTTGTTTTTGTTTTATTATATATAATTCAAAGTTTGCTATGCAAAGATAGCTGCTTTCACAATAGTGAAAAAATTTTGCAATGTAAGAAAAATAACATCTATCTTATGTACAAAACTAACTTAACTTTATCTTTCATTGTCAATATTCATTTATATGCCAGGCAAATAAGAAGCATTTCCTGTATGCCTCACCAAAAAATTAGTGTAAAAGGTAAATATGGAAGAAAACAAATGAGATATTGAAACATAACTAAAAGATTCAGAATGGTATTGGCAAATAAGCACCCTGGTCCACATAAACTCATTTCCTTTAATAACTTCATGAAATAGTCACAAATGATGTAAGGGAACAATGGGGTCTTTGTAGATGGATCTATACAACAATTAATTTTTAAAAAGTAAGAATTGTAAACATGAAGCCTAATGACAATAAGAGTGTTAATGGGCTTCAGTTGGCTCCACTGAATCTGATGAAATTATATGCAAATAGGTGTACACTGTGAATGTGTCTTATGTGAAACAGCAGCTTTCACTAAATTTTCAAAGGGGCCATTATTAGAAATAGGGTAAGTACCACTGGTCCAAATGCACTATAATGACAATGATTATGATGATTACTAACATTTACTAAATGCCTTGTGTTTTCTCATTTAATTATAATAACAACCCAATAAAAGACAGGTTGAGTATCCCTTATCCAAAATGCTTGGGACCAGAAGTGTTTCAGATTTCAGATTTTTTGGATTTTGTAATATTTGCATATGTATAATGAGATAGCTTAGGGATGGTACTCAAATCTACAAAATTCATTTATGTTTTATGTACACCTTATACATATGGCCTGAAGGTAATTTTACACAATATTTTTCATAATTTTGTGCATAAAACAAAGTTTTTACTGCAACCTGTCACGTGAGGTCTGGTGCAAAATTTTTTCACTTGTGGCATGTCAGTGCTCAGAAAGTTTCAGATTTTGGAGCATTTTGAATTTTGGATTTTCAAATTAGGGATGCTTGACCTGTAGTTACATTATTAAACCAACCTTAAAGATGAGACTATTAAGTCTGAAAGTGGTTATTTGACAGAAATCACAGTGTGTAGGAAGTGAAGCCTGCTAATACTTAAAGTTATGCAGTCTGTTCCTAGAGCTATGCTGTCTAATATGGTACTCACTAGCTACGTGGGGTTATTATGCACTTGAAATGTGGCTACTGTGATGAGAAACTGAATTTTTAATTTATTTAATTTTAACCCATTTAAGTTTAAAGTTAAAAACTGACGCCAGTTCAGTTTTTAGAAAACGTTAAATTATATTTGGAAAATCTTGGACAGGTGGATATACTTTTTCAACTATAAGTTTTATAAAATCTACACATAGATTAAGTATTTCAAAGAAAAATTTAGCATCCAAATCAAGATGTACAATAGGTACAAAAATACACACCAGATTGTGAAGACTTAATAAAAAAAAGAATGTAAACTCTCTCATTAATGATGTTTTTACATTGCATACAGTTATAA